TACAAAATCAACGATAGTTTTATGGAAGATTTTATACAACATGCATAACCTAAGTATGTAAATTTGTTGATATGTACAAAACGCTGAACATGATTTAAGATAGGAAGAACAAGAAGATAGCAATTATCAACAGCCGAACAAAAACAGAGAAAGTCAAGGTACAAGCTGAATACACAGAAGCGAACAAGCAAGTGTAGAAGAGCATTAGAGCCGACAAGCAGAAATCTAAGGAAGATCTAGCAACGACAGCGGAAAAAGCTGTAAGAGAAGGAAATACGAGATAACTATATGAAACGACGAAGAAACTCGTAGGAGAATACAGTAAACCAGAAAGACCAGTAAAGGAAAAACAAGGCAAGCCAATCACTGAAATTCAAGGACTGAGGAACAGATGGGTAGAACACTTTGAGGAACTCCTAAATAGACCAGTTCCATTGGATCCACCGGATATCGAAGCAATAAACATAGACCTCCCTATAGATATCACTCCACCAACGACGGAAGAAATCAGGATGGCCATCAGACAAATCAAGAGTAGGAAAGTAGTAGGACCTAACAACATACCAGTTAAAGCACTGAAGTCAGACATCGAGGTAACTTCAACATGCTCCACGTTCTATTTAAGAAGATTTGGAAGGAAGAACAAGTTCCAACAGACTTGAAAGAAGGATATCTCATCGAGATACCAACGAAATGAAATCTGGGCAAATGTAAGAACTATAGAGGAATCACACTACTATCGGTACCAGGAAAAGTTTTCAACAGTGTTGTTGAGCCGAATGAAAGGTTCAGTTGTCCTCCAAGTTCTGGAATACGTAAGGATAGGTTGTGAGCAGATCAAATCGCAATACTACGGATCATTGTTGAACAATCAATCGAATGGAACTCGTCACTATACATCAAATTCCTTGACTATGAGAAAGCTTTGAACGTGTAGATATGAGGACTTTATGTAAACTTCGACAATATGGTGTACCTGAGAGGATAGTCAACATCGTCCAGAGTTCATACGACGGACTACAGTGCAAAGTGGTGCATGGAGGACAGCTAACATACGCATTCCAAGTGAAAACCGGAGTCAGATAAGGTTGTTTACTGTCTCCCTTCCTCTTCTGGTGGTAGACTGGTTTATGAAAACTTCCATATCTCAGGGAAAGCACTGAATACAATGGACAGGCTGGATGCAATAGACGATTTGGACTTTGCAGATGACCCAGCTCTTCTATCTCTTGTTATTGGATCTTTCTTCAGGTATTTATATAAGATCGACATACAATGATAATGAAAGCTAGAGTAGAGTAGAGGTTTAGCAACCCCATCCTGTAAAAAAGAACCTTGATAAAAAGACTAACCAGAAAAAAATAGACCCATTAATTATTTCATGCAGACAAAGTGTTCAAAATATATTTGAATAGAAGAATAAATAAATGATAAATGATTAGCCGTCAGATATGGATTACTTTACAATCTGTCATAATTATCCAGAGATTCTCTACATTAGTACGACGACAAGAAATAATAATATTCATTGTAGTGGAAAAATAGACATAGAAAGAATATAATCCTAAAAGAGTAAATAAAATCGGCTCTCAAATACAACACAGAGAACACCAACCCAATCACAGTTGATGGCAAAACTCTGGAAGTGATGGGAAGTTTCACATACTTGGGAAGCATCATCGATGAACGAGGAGGATCTGGTGCACACGTAAATGCGAGGATTGGCAAAGCAAGGACAAAATTTCCACGGTTGAAGAACATATGGAACTCAAAACAACTGTCAACCAATATCAAAGTCAGAATATTCAATACAAACGTCATGACAGTCCTATTGTACGGAGCTGGTGAGCGGCCCATGCTCTTCCGTAAGGGGTAACAGGCGTAAGTAAGTAAATAAATAAATAAGTGATATGTAAAACAATCTAAAGATCATATATATTTAGATATTCTAATATGTTCAAATATCTGTAGGCTAGAAGAGCGCTCATTATCTAACGAATCACCGACGATATGGCTTTCTTGTTATCTGAGTTTAACCAGGAAAAAAACGGAACCAAGCTGTATCAATAAACAATGTCAATATCTTAGAAAATGCGAGGAGTTTGTTTGTTTACGCAATTAATGTCAATTCCACCCTATGATGACATGAGGCCCCCTTCTCCCAATTCAAGAATGTCAAGTACCTTGTAGAATAATCTACAAGTTCATTCTCCGGGTAGATAATAGTTGGGATTAATTTTTGGAGGTCATACGTAACTCAAGGTTGTTATATTAAAGTTTATTAGCTCGGAGCATCAAGTACCTTAATCTTTCACTAATCATAGTGATTATGTCTGAGCCTTAATCAAAACTGACATCACATTAATGTTTAAACGCGAACTAAATGAGTTATTGGCTAGCAGATCTATGACGCCTAACTGCAAACCAGATTTTGTTTTCACATTTGTCACTGAGGCTATGTTCATCCGTTACATAAGTTGCAGATCATATAATTCGCTAAAAATCAAGATGATAAAATACTTGTTATTATCCATCTTGCTTTTTGTTCTGAATGAACAGCTGGATGAGAATAAGTTCCATGCTTTACTTAATGTGTTATCGATAGTTAACTGACGTAAAGAAATAGTCGCTTGTAGAAATGGAGACAATAACATTCACTTGGTATTGTTTGGCTTGTATCTTTCCATTGAGGTTTAAGACTGCAATTGATCAGTCTGTTATTGGCATATGTGCATACTGTGCGTATGCCTCGATATTGCCTCAATTCACAAGCTTTTTGTAAACAATGATGGATAGTGGCTAGCAGTGGAATTCAGGACGCGCGTTTCGACCTAATTAAGACTCATCAGCTGGACTGAATATGAACCTAGGGATGTAGGCACATCCAGCTGACGATTCCAAATTAGGACGACTGGTTAATTGCAGTCTAAACATCTATGAGAAGATTCAAAGAACCAACTGATTAAAGTTCATTGATGAATATATAGTTAACCACCTAGGAAATTAACAGCTCGTTCCTCAGTAATTATTTTTTATATAGATTCCTTGAAATTCTAGTAGGAAACTGTGACTTTTGGATTCAAACTAATTGAAAGTAACTCAGTTAACTACACTAGACATCATAATACGATTATGTCTTATCAAAAATTTTGGAAAATATGAGTCTCTAGATCCTGATTCACTGTTTAAATAGGATCATCCTATCCTAAATTAATTAAATGCTTTAATTCAATGCTATCAGTCAGTCTTGAGTGCTGTTAGAGGTATGAGGGCGGTTATCACTTCCTGGTTTCCCATATCGTGGAAGAGTTCTTCTGAAGGTACCTGAAAAGGAAATTGGATTAGAGGTGGTCTTAGTGACCTGGGAGCGTGACCGCAGTGCCCAAGAAACAACTGCTTGAGGTCGGTCACACACGACCTTTTTATGGGTAATTTTTGTGTTAGCTCCGTACTTGTTGAGACCTTACCGCCGGAGACGGATATCCGTGGGATAAGGAGAGGTGTGCATTTTTAGGGTTGACCTTTTCTAATCCCACCCCTCCTTGTGGGAAGGCAGCATTGCTGCAGATGCTGGTTGTCTAAAGGAAAAACCTTACTGCTGTCACACCTCTGTACAGTCAGCAGTACGACTTCGCCTTTGAACCTTAGGTTTGTTGCTTTTAGCCTTACTGCTCGCCAACCGAGCTTTCTGACATGGTGGGACCTTGAGGAACAATTGTTTCAGCCAGTGTAGCTCGGTTGCTTCATCATGATAGGCAAGCCTGACCACCACGTCAAGGTAGCAACAACGGTCGGGAACTCAACGCTATATGGGTTCATGGATGTAAATAACTGAAAAAAAAATTACAAAACAATTGGTTGATTCTTTCTTTTCTGTCAGTAATCACTATCAATGAATAATCTACATTATTATAGGGAAGTATCATTCAAAAGGCTATTTGAACTCATGAACTTATTGGTGAATAACTTAGAATTTAAAGTAATAGATACTGAATTAAAACCTCAATGTTAATATCACTACTAATATTCAAGAATATCCATTTAATAAGTCTTAAATAGAAAGAAATACCCATTCTGGATTTCATTATTTAGTTATATTCGAAGTATACTAATATAAACTTCTTAGAAATCTATGAACAAGAAAAAAACAAAGTCACTTCAAATTCAAATGTCTATTTATTTATTAAGTACTAACATAAATGTTTAGAAATAAGCTTCTTTTTTTTTGTTTGTTTTCATTTCCCCGACACCATAAAGACTTATTTATTCAAATAATAATAATAATAATAAAATAGAGAGAGAGAGGGAATGTATTTATTTGAGCACAAGTAACCACCTTATTACATTATTATTGTATTTCACCATACAACAACACTATCAGTAAGAGTTGAATGAAATTGTATAATAATAATAATAATAATAATAATAATAATAATTATTATTATTATTATTATTATATATAAATTACATTCATTGTAATTAAACATAATCAAAGTACAATAACTAATGATCATATGAATTTATAGAAAGAAAGATAAAAAGAAAAGTAATAAACAAGGTTGATGATGATGATGATGATCATCATCATCATCATCACCATATCAGTTCAATTCTATGAAATATGGTTGATTATTTAACAATTATAATAGGAATGATGATGATGATACTAACAGCAGTGATACAATGAATAATAATAATAATAATAGTTATATAAAAAGTCATATGAAGAGATTGGAAGTGTGAAAAGTGAACCTGTCAACTACATGCATACATACACACATACACACATACATACATACATACATACATACATTCATAAAAGCATAGATGTATACATCAACTATGCAAAGGCATTAACTTTATTTTGTTTTATAAAGGCAAAGTCCAACAAAAGAGATCACTTTATTTGAGTATTTAACTCTTAACCGAGTATAGACAAACAATCAATTGAATATTGAATTCCATTTCATTTAGTTTTGTTTTTTTTGTCGGTTTTGTTTGTTTGTTTGTTCAGATAACATCAATACAAATGGTTAAAAGTGTGAATAGAACAACGAGCAACTGGAAAAAAGAAAAAAACAAACAAACAAATGTTTGATACTGGAATATAGATGATCAATGATTTACTTTGAACATAAGTCTTATCATGAATTAGTATGGGGAGATCCCATACTGCAACTATAGACATTGTAAGACAATTGTTTCTTTGTAGCTTAGAACTTCATAGAACCAATGATTTCATGTTGTTATTAGTTCAAGATGAAAATACATCTTGAAATTATACAAACAATCTAAGTAAGTAGTCATCTTTAAGATTGTTAATTATACTTAACTTATAATTAGTTAATGAATGAAAGTGTTGATCTATAACTTCCAAGATTCTCAATAATGTTGAGTTCCATTTATACTTTAAAACATTTCATAAATTATAAAGTTTATCAAGGAAATTTCCAAAGGTTGTATATTTTTAAAATAGATAGAAAACGATAACAGTTATTTATATTCACTTCGTATTGTTTTACTTGAATATTCCCATTAATGTTTAAAACTGCTATTGATCAGTCTCTTATTGGAATATGTGCATACTGTGTGTATTGTCTCGATATTGACTTCACAAGTATCATAAGCAAAGATGGATAATGGCAAGCAGTGAAATCCAGGATGCGCTAAGTGCATAACATCATGGCGTTTGAGGTGGGCGGTACTGGGTTCGAGTCCCGAAGTTAACAATAACTCTGCGATGCAAGTACGTTCAACTGATGACGAAACGCGCGTCCCGGATTCCACTGTCAGCCACTATCCATCTTTGCTGATAACAGTTATTTTCAAATCATATTGATTCATTAATTAGCATGAATATTTGTACATTCCAGTCAATCAATACAAACTTCTATACCTAACTTTAAAATAAATTTACTATGTAACGAGTAGAGATAGAATGGTTATTGCACAGTCTATGTAGTGGTTCTTCAATGTGGAAGACAATATCGATAAATGCAAGGTTCAGTCGTTGAACAACTATAGATGGATGCTAATGCAACTCAACTAGTATCCTACTCATATCTGACGAGTTAAAAAAATATTTGTATCAGAATTCTGTATAAAACTCAATGACTGGTGTAATAGTGAAACTTATTTAGAACATAAATGTTGTAATTCAGGTAAAGCAACACTGTAGATAGTTTAAGTTTCATTAGTCTCATTTTGTTCAAATATTCATAAACCTTGAAATACTAACAACCTACACAAGTGCAGATGTCCTAAAACTTACTGATTACCATTTTTACCATACTTAGAATACATGTAAATACCGCTTAAATTCTCAAAAAACGATTATTACGGATAATATAATTGTTTCATAAACAAAGATGGATGGTGGCTAGCATTGGAATACAGGATGCGCGTCTCATCCTATTTGAGACTCGTCAGTTGAATGAACCTGCAACCCAGAGTTGATATTCACTCTGAAACTCCAACCCATTCGCTTCAAACACCATCGCGTTATACATGCGCGTTTTGGATTCCACGTCTAGCCATCATCCATCTTTGCTTATAATACTTGTAACTTAAGGCCATATCGAAGCAATCCATACAGAATACATATATGCCAATGTCTTTAACATCAATCGAAGATTAAAAAACAATGATTGTTTCAGTTTTTCAGGAGCTATTAAAAATTCAATACGGTTTTCTCTTCCAAGGGCGAGACTAATTTATGGACAACCTTTGAACGAATCTTAGGCGACTTTGAGAAATATTAGCCAATCAGCAAACAGTCAGTATAGAGTAAAAAGATGTTACACAAAACCAAGGAAATAAAGTGGATACACTTCTTATACGTAGTTCAGAAACTTGTCAAGGTTAGAAAGAGGTTCAGAGGTTCTAAAATCGTAATGCATGCATTATAGGAAATCATCTATGTGACTACAGAATAGTCGGCCTCTGGAGTCATGATATGATCTTAAAAACTCTTTCAGCCTAGACCACATAGCTTCAATATTGTTTATGTGTACTCAGGTTGTTGAGTGCACAAAATGCTACTTGTAGATAACCACACGATGCACATAACTAGGCCTATATAGGAGTCTGCACATTCTCCAATCATCCATGTATTTTGTAGTACCTGGCTGCAGCCAGTGTTACTGGTGGTTTTATTATCCGGTTCACAATAATTGTCGTAATTTGCCTTAATTAGGAATTATATATGGTTTTTATCATGAACTGACATCAGCTATAATGTCAAAACTCTATTCCGCCAAATGGATGAAAGACTTTCGCGTTAAAATCCGAGATCTATTATCTTATACCTGATTGATTCGTCCACAAATTATAGTCTCGCCGTTTTATTTGTTATAGCAGCTCAATTATCACGTTTTGTACAAAATTCCCTGTGAACCGATCGTACGTTCGCATTAAGCACTGAAGTTAGCACCGTAACCTTGAAATCTCTAAAACACCTGTGATTGGCTCGTCCATAAATTAGAGTCTCGCCTTAATTCCTTTTATCCTTACATTTTGATCGTAGCTACCAGTTAAGTAAATGAATTGAACTGAAATCAGATATTGTCACTATGAACAGTCAAATAATTCAGAACTGTAGTTTAAAACTGCCGAAATCAATCACGTCCTCGGCTTCACCATAGTTCAGATTCACTGGGTAAGTAAATGTCTAAAAGAAACAAATTCATAATCTATGTTTCTATTATTTGTTTTGAACTAACACCCAATAATTGTTTAGAAGTGACAGATAAAAACAAACTTGAAATTAATTTCAAAAGCATTATTGTGATTTATCTTTACTTACCAATAAAACAAATGCCCCAATTAATCCATAAGCTACATAATCCATATATTTAAGGAAAAATTCTTTCAATGGACCTCTACAACCATTTTTGTAATTACTGTTATTATCATCGAATTTATCTGGACATGTAGAATCACTGATTGCATAATTTTGATTCATTTTGCAACACGGCACAGGATATTCAATATCTATTTGTTGTAATGAAAGTAAACAGGAAGGGTATATAATTTATTATTCATAAAACAACAGTTTTATTCATTGTAGATGACATCGTTAATCAAGATACATAAATTGCGGATTAATGATTAAAATTAATCCAGTGTTCCAAAGTTTGATCAGACAAATAAAATTCCTATTTTGAGATGAATGTTCGACTTTGAAGGTAAGTTTCTTTAAAGGATAATGTCAGGTGGTGAATGATTAAAGACTAGTGAGATTTCAATTATAACTCCACCTGAAGCCCCTCTGGGGTTACTATCAGTCCCAAGCCCGGATAGAGGAGGAGGGTTGAGCATGGGGTTAGCGACCCTATTCCGTAGAAAACTAACTCGCTAAAAAACGCTAACCAGAAAAAATAACTCAAACCATTTAAACTCTGCCCTGGGAGTTAGAAAGTCTTCATTTAGAAGAGTTATGACGCCTCATGACGAAAGCCGAGTTCCTTCGGAAGTCATGAGGCCGATGCCCCTTCCGACAACCAGAGAAACAACTACTTTAGGTAGATGGAATGCCCGTACAATGTGGGAGACCAGGAGAGTATTCCAAATCGCTGTAGAAATGAAGAGATACAACCTGGAGTTGCTTGGAATCAGTGAGACATACTTGACGTAGGTTGGAAAAGATTTCAATTATGTAAGTGAATAATATCGTTTTTATCACACAGCTTGAATATTCTGGGGTAAATTGTTACAGGTTTATTTGTGCAAAGTGCTAAATAGCTCAAATCAGTCATTATACTAACTACGTGTAAAGCCAGTACAACGAATGTTGTGAGATGAAGTGAACTTATACGAAATATTTAGACAATACAAAATGAGAGTTAATAATAAATCTATTTTTGTTATATCCCAATGAGTAGAAAAATTGTATTGCCGACGTTTCGTCACTTAATGTAAATCAATTCTTCAGAGTAAATAAATAACTCAATGTATTGTTTCCCTGGTACTATTTAAACTTGTGGCTATTTACTTACTCTGAAAAAGTGGCTTACATTAAGTGACAAAACGTCAGAAATAAAGTTTTTCTACTCATTAGGATATAACAAGAAATATTTTAATAGTTGAGATCATGAGTCAGTTGAAGCTAGACCACCATGGTAATACCTGGAGGCACCGAAAAAAGTATATATCTATTAGTAATGTTTGATAGTTTTTGTAACCTTAACTGATTAGATAAAAACATAATGATACACCCTAAAAATGATTGCTACAAGCATGTTACTACTGACAACATTTAATAAAAATATCTACTATGGATCGACAAAATACTCATAAGAGAACAAAGATTATAATAAACACCTACACGGAAAACTATTGCAATTTATACAACTGTGAAATATCAAATATACATAATTTTATTTACAATATTATGCAATATTCTAATTAAACTAATGTATATTATGGCATTACATAGGCAAAAAATTTGTTTTATTTGGGCGCCACTAGCTGTATATACATTAAGTTTATTGTTATTGTTTTCACCCAATGTCTATATTATTGTGTATCATAAATGAAGAAATATGAATCCTTTAACTAATCAGATATATCTTCCCGTAGTATACTTCAATCTGGCCATAATTTATGGGTATTGCTTTACAAAGAATATGTTTTTCAATTATCTTTAGCATATTTGAAAAACCGTTGTGATCTGATGATGACATCATTTGGGAGGGACGAAGAACATTCAGAAAATACTTTCATTGTTGCTCAATATGATCGGAAGACCCTGTATTTTGTCAGCGTCTCTACAAAATATGGCTATGTAATCAACATATTCAAAGTCAATACGAGAACCTCCTCCTAAGAGATCAATCTTTTAAAGGTTAGATGAAGAAAGTGTAATGTCAACAAGCACCAATCAACATCAAGGTGTACAGGAAAAGCTGTGAACCACACATGGAGAAATTCAAACTCTGCACTTTTATCTGAAGTTTGTGCTGGTGATGTCATTCATAAGAACGATGAAAGCTCCCCGACCAGACCATCTAGTTCAGAGAACAAAACCCCATCAAAAAGAATGTGTAGTCTGCAGAAAGATATCTGCGACAAAATTAATTGAAAAGGAGAAAGGTTGACAATCAAGAAGAACACAACTTGAGAGTGACGTTTCTGACTACATTTCGTCATAGGCTTTGACTGAGAAATTTTTGATTGAGTACACTGCCTTTACTAGTACGTGTACTTCTATGACGAATTAGTCAAATCGAGTTCCATTCAGTTCTCAACGTCTATACGGTATCATAGTCAAACTAGTTAGTAAAACTAAAGATAAATAGAGTTAACTCATTAAGCCACTTGAACTGTTCCCTAATTTTTTTAAAATAAATTCATAAACAATCCATTTTTAAAATGAACTTTAAGAGGTCTTGATGATCTAGACATACAATGACTTGTGGAAACGAAATACTTGGTATCAGTTTTATTAATCTAAAGTTCAACTGTTGTTTCCTCTTCTTGACTGGCGTTCTCTGAGTATATAACTTAGTAAGTATGCATTTAATTGAATATATGGCCTACCAGTAGGTGGCAGCCAGCAAAAGATCTAGGTCCAGAGTTTATTTTTGACTAGCCCCAGCTTCCTGTTGTTAAAATATGTATATACAGTGGTTATAAGTCAGTTAGTCTGTTGACTCTGGACCGTACTTCAAGCCACATTTTGACGCAGAGTAAAAAAGGCATCAAAGTATATAGGAGAAACGCTTACTAGTATATGCTTTACCCCCGTAAGTGTCATTTTTCCAGAAATTAGGTGAACTTTTAAAGTCACTTCCACCATCCACGCCACAGCATTGAAGCTATAAAAAGATAAAAATATTATGTGTTAATGAAAGGTTAAACAAAATTATCGTATAATTAAACGCATAGTGATCTATCTGGTATTTGTAGAACACTAAATAAAAATAAATTTATAAACTCTTTGCACTGAATCACCATAAACATTTTAAGAATAAAGATCCATTAAGTTTTTCAAAACTCGTATGTTTGGATCACACCAGGAACCTGTATGATTTAGCTTGTAAAATGTTTGATTCAGCCTATTTCATCTGAAGATCAATACAATGATCAAGTATTTTCTTCTAGGTTATACATATAATTTTGAAGACTGTGATGACTTGAAGAGCATAACAGTTGTCAAGCAACAACTAAGTTAAAGATTAGAATCTCACTTCATTTACTTTCTGCTTCACTAGCCAGGTAGAATTCGTAGCCCTGATACAATGTTAGGAATATGGATTTGCTTGTCGTTACGTAGTTGAATTTAATTAGGGTAATCGGGGTCTTAGATGTGACATGTAGTCAAGGGTGCAATACATGTCCAAGATCGCTAAGTAAGGACCTTTCTACATCAATAAAACTTAGTCGTTGAATAATTAAAGAAAAAAACTAGGTTCATTGATATTAAAATAATAATTTGCTTTTATTTTGGACAATAACTAGGGATTAATAATCAATAAATCATATTCTCTGTTCAAGACTTGTTTAACACCTCAAATCTATATTGGTTTTGATGCCTAAATGTAGACACACACATTACTCAGAAAAAAAACATGAAGTACAAGTGCTTACTGGAGGTGAGATTAAGCCAACCACTAGACTGTCCAGTGTATTTGCTTCCATTGATTGATAATTCTTTACACTCGTCTCGAACATTTCAACTGCTTTGTTGCCAATCTAGATGTAAAAAAAGTGTTAAAATAACAGTTAAATTTTGTGGAATAACTTTGCCCATATTTGTTTCGTTGACTATTCAGTTTGGTTTCATCTAACATCAGATAAACAAACCTGTGATTTTATGAATGTTTTAAATGCCTATGATGTTTGCATAGGTTTTATGCTTCTTTAACTCTAGTTGTTTCAGCTCCCAACTATGTCATGGTTTCTCCTTCCCAGTTTTCCCCCAACTCCTTTTCACTCTTTTGATGTATGCCTATAATTCCTGGGACCATATGTGTTTTGTTTTATCTTTCTTTTCCTTTGCCGTTGAGAATTCCAAGTTAGCGATCGCATTGTGATGTATTTTGATGATTTCTACAATGTGTGGCTTATTCACCTCCAGCATCTCCTCTTAATTTCCTGTTCAGCTAGAAGCTAGTTTTTTTCTGTTTCAGTAGGTTATTGCTATAGGTATCTAGCCAATGGATCAAACAATTATTTATAAATACCTGTGAATATTTGATGGTGGTTCAAATCAAAACACTTTCAACCTGAACAATCATTAATATATTGGAAGGAGGTAACTTGTTAGTTAAATAATCTATATTTCATGTAGTACGTTGCAGGTTCGAACCCCCACTTCATCTACCTCGGTAATAAGCAGCTAATCATTAACACTAACCCATTTATAAACAGAGTGGTTCAAACTTAAGAGACATAAGCCTGAAAATGGTAAGTGGGTTAACCGAAAATTATCAGATTATTATTGTCATCCACTTCAATGACTTTCTTTTTCTCTGTTCTTTAGTAGTAGAACTGCCTTGAATTATTGAATCTATAATATTTTATGATACGGTTTGTTATGTATAAATAATCATAGAAGTAGTTTTCCGAGGGATTTATATCGGTTTATGTACCACTAGACATTTATTTCTTTCTATTTGAAAAGTTTCTTTCTTTCAGTGTGAACCTATGTCTTTCGAATAAATGAAAATGTGTAATCAATCTACTAATCATAACATTTAACGATTCAGTTTAATAAAGTTGTAGAACTTACCTCATCTTTACGAGAGAAGTACACACTGAATGTAACCAGAAAAGCAAGTGCCAAAGCTCCTACTATAATTGCGTACTAAATGGAAATGAATATAAAACAGACAGTTAATCGTCATATAGATAACGTGAATGATAATTATAGAACAAAAGAGATAAAACAGGGGGTATTACTTATATGAAACATTCAGTAGTTTGTGGCAAGTAACTAATATTTTATTATTATTTGAACTGATTAATATTCTGTCATTAAGTAATGTAGTGCATTGCAGATCCTAAAACTATTTCAATATATTAGTGCCTCTGGTTATTGTGTACAATTATTTACGAATGGCTAACCGTTACCTGTACATATCAAGTCAAAACTTACAAGGCATTTAAAAAACATGAGACGTCATTATTATAATCATTATCATCCACTTTTTTCATAATCAGTTTTGGGGATTTGTGGAGATCGTAGTATTTTCAAAGTTTAATTCACTAATCAATTTAAACTAGACGACGGTTGGAAACCTAGAAGCACTGGACGGGACTCCTCAGAAGTGCTCATCCACTATCCCGCACGCACGACTTGAACACGAGATCTTCGGTTTCGTGCGCTAACACCAACTCTAGACCACTGTGCCGGGATGTGCACTGTTGAGGAGTCACGTACTAGGACGAGGCGGCCATACAGTGCTTCCAGGTTTTCAATATTGGTCTAACTTAGATTACTTCGTGAACTCAACTTTTTTTATAAATCAATGTTTTTAAAGTTTCTGAGTTCAGCTATTCTCGTTTCTAGTCATATAGAAGTTTGAGGGGTCTGTTCAGTGAGTATTCTATCACAAAGAAAGTGGAATATATATACAATTTTGAGGTCACCACTCAGAAAACTAGTAGTTCATAAATTCAGTCATAAGTTCAAACCTTAATCCACGGATCTCTATTCTTACAACAGTACAGTACGTTAGGTAGGAATCGAAACCTAGAGTTTGTAGTAAATATACACAATACTTGCTTGTATTTCAATAATCACTGAATTGATTCATATTTTTTTATTTGCATAAAACATAACCGGGTTAATGAAAATACTTTTTAGCCTAGCTTTCCCTTATTTTCTACCACTATCAAAACCCGAAAAGAAATTCTCATGTTGCTTTTTTCTTAAACAGGAATATATGAGTGTAACTTTAATCAATTACGTGTTGTTTCACTCTATGAACTAAATATTTTGAAAAGAACAAGAACAAACATTCTAGCAGAATAGCATGAATTCATTTTTATTTCGTTGGTTCTCGTCAGCTGCTTACAACCTGTGATATTTATTGACGAGTATCGTTCCATCTGGTCTTAAGGGATGACAGTATTTTATCAACTAAGGTTTTAGTATTGCAGTCAAACTAGTAGAATTGGCTTGATAATGTGACGAATATAGATCTGGAGAGTTAAGGTGTAACTGATTTTAAGGAATCAGAAAAGCAAGCGAATAGATCCCACGGAGTTCTAACACAGTTAAATTTGACCTAATATATATTTCTATATATTTATAATACAGTCGAATATATCGATAAAAGTACGTTTGAACAATTTTGTTAAGAAGCAATCAAGTATTTGGTTTTCCTCAGCTATCACTTCTGTGAATTTTATCATTTTTTAAATTATATATTTGGCTAGAATAATCAATCTACTCCAAGTATAGAAGTCCCATGTTTCCTCAAAGTAATGTGGAAATGCGTGATTAGATGGGTGGGGATAAACTCTGCTCTCGTTCACAAATCTGACCTTGCACCTGGCAACCAACCATAATGAATCGAGAATTATTACTTACATCATCGTGATCCATAATGGAGGGTGTGTTTCGTTCTCTATCGTCTTTGATGAATTACATGAAAAATATAGAGTTCTCTACAACGAAAATACTGCTCTATTATGCTACGGACGTGTCAAGTGTAACGCAGTTTGTCATGATGGAAGGAAAATTACAACATACCAAAAGTCACACCTCTAATACACTATATTAGAAATTATTCAAAAATATCTAATGTTGAGTGACTAAATAAACAAAAACATAACTGTAATCACTGAATACGATACACTTAAATGATTTGATAATGTGGAGATTATCTCCAACCCTTTGAACTAATGAGGAAATTTACTCTAAGTTCATTTTAGATGTTTAGTAAACTAGCTTGTTTATCATTGGTAAGACAACTACATACTTATAACTTACCTACACCTGTTACCCCTTATGAAGGAGTATAGACTATTCACCATCATTCTCCATACATACTCACTACTCATGATAAATTGTAGAAAAATCTACATTATATCCTAACCATATACCCCTTTAAGAGGAAGAATGTATTTGTAAAATCTCAGCGAATAAATTTTGAAGTAAATTCAACGTTTTGCCTGACAATCTGGTCCAAGCTTTTTTCAAGGAATTATCTTTAATGTCTCACATTAACTCGGTGCTCAAATACTGTGAAACTATTCGATTAAATTTAGATGAAAGTTCTTATTTATTACCTACACCCCCCTGTTTCTTTTTTTAGGTATCACAAGGTACATATTTTTTTATCATTCAGTCAATCAACTCAGTCAAATAATAATTGTAACCATATGAAAAGTCTATATTGAATTAGTCATTATAATGACCAAACTACTAAATATAGAATCAAAAGAACAATGTGGTTCTTTCTTTGAAAACGGATATAAATTGGAAAACTAAATATGGAAAACAAAATACTCATTAATATTCATAAACTTTATTTAAGTAGCGAAGGGGGGGGCTAATCATTCTTATTTATCATTAAATGATCAATTAAAGTAAAAAATAATTAATTAATTTCCATTCTTAATGTAATGAAACTTATTATTATTTTTACTTACTATATAAAGTAGTATCTTCATATTGCAACAGGCTCCACAATAACCAAATATTGAAATACCTGTGCAAACAGCACCTAGGATAAAGACTGCTAAACCAACTGGAGCTGGAAATAATAAAGATCACAGTAAAAATACAAAAACAATTAGATATTATAAATATATTAATAGATTGGTAATATCGCAATGAATAGAAAAATTAGTCAGATTACTGAAGCTTAGGGTAAATACCACTAAGTAGTCTAACGCGAAGCCAGGTGCATGCTTCATTATATATTTTTGGGTCATGATAATGATCGTTCCACAGGCTCACCTACGGAAACCTTGTTACGACTTTTATTTCCTTCAAATATTCAAATTAGGTTATCTTTTCAGCATCAGTCGAACGGCAGAGCCATTACAACGACACCAATCCAACGATTTCACTAAACCATTCAATTGGTAGTAACGATGGGAGGTGTGTATAAAGGGTATTATGTTTATGATTTAACTGAAATTATTCATTCTTAGGTGATATAAATCACACTCAAACTATTGATCGTAAATAACCTAAATTATGGAAAGAAAGATGAGCTGGTACTCACTTTCTAAGAAATCAAATAAAGTGTATGTACAGGGACAAAAATAACACAATGTTTTCACCTTAAATATTGAAAGTCGAAGAAATGAAAAGATCATATGAAACTAAAGTATTGAAATGAAATCATAGAGTGAATGGTGATGAGGTTGGACAACATGAAATTGATTTAATCATTAATCTATAATGATTTTGAATACATGTTGCACACATACTCAAGTTGGCATTTAATCTATTCATGTTCCAAAGACTGAATATGGAAGATACTAATAAATTAGTTTGATCAATTGAGTTTCACAGATAGTCAGAGTGAGGAATCAGTATAAATTATGTTTACAAGTTCAAATAACATTCAGTACTGAGTTGAAACAATGACTGAATCAGTCGGATGTTAGCATTTACTCGTTATAATGTAAGTTATATTATCTATGTAAATCCTTTATTTTGTTTAAAGTTTAATTTCAATGAAAACATTCTATGAATGATACATTTGAGTGAGAGACACTACTGATCCTACATGTACTGTAACAGATTTGGATATAACCACTCTATATTCACCAAATGAATTTCATTAATCCGCTAACAAAGACAACTTGTACGTTATTTGAATTTTAGTCGTTGAGATCATAAGCCAATTGAAGCTAGACCACCATAGAAAACCTCGAAGCACTGGATGACCACTTCGATCTCGCCTCGCGAGATTCAAACCCAGGACATATCAGTCTCGCGCGCAAACGCTTGACCACTAGATCACTGAGCTGGCCTGCATTCAACAGTGTTAATGTCTAACTTCAACTAATACACGAAATTGAGCGACACATCCACCATTGTCTTCAGTGAGTTGATATCTCACAACAGACCCGGTTGAACTTCACTGATCACTGGTTCTTACTAGAAGTCTAGGACATATCTCTTGAAGCCAGTTTTTAGTGAGCATATATTGATTAATATCAGAATGGGGATTTTTGTGGATATTAACAGTTATTTACATGTGATCTTCCAGAAGTCTGATCTACAATCAAATAAATAAGTTTCCATACTGTGTGTACTTTGATTTCAAAATTTAATAAACCTATTCTTAACATGAACACATCCTGAAGCACATGTAAAAATGTTATAAATGTTCATGTTTTACATTAATTATCCAGAGATGTAATGGAGCTATACCAATATAAAACTTGGTAATGTATTAGTCCATTGGTATGATTTGAGAATAGTTTAGTTGACCGACTGAAATTAGTTACAGAATCATTGAGAATAATGGAGCACAGGACTGATATTTCGTTCAAGTACTCGATTTCTCAGGTAAGTAATTCGACGACTCAGACAGAAAATAAACTCATGCCGTTTTTAATCTCTCAGCAAACTTATTAGTTCGCAATCCCAACTTCAATTATTTCACTGTATTGTTTATATATCATCTATCTTCATCTGTGGTACTGTGGTGTGGGTTACTTATATCCACATAAGTAGTGTATAATGGTGGTCAGGCATAGAATGTCTTTTAGTAGAAGGTCGATAAGGGAAGAACGGGAACAGAACGCAATTGGTATGAAAATGCATGAAAAATGAAATCAGAGACAATGGACTGATATTTGCAAAAGGAACGGTCACGTTTGAGACGATGGATTATTATTTTGCAAATTAACTATTTACTATATGGTTCTCAGATTTTAGTGAGATGCTCTGGAATGTAAGACGAGCTTCTCTTCCAGCACAGGACTCGTCAAGTGAACCTACCTGCATCTCAGTGTTGATATTCACTCCGGGACTCGAACTCAGCGTTGAATCTGGTAGCTCAGTGAATAAGAAGTTGGGCTTTTGAGCTAAAGTTGAAATGGCTACGTCGATACAGTTGGTACAGGATGTACATATTTCAACCAAAAATGGCCAAAATGAGTCAAAATATCAACAACGGAATATTCCAAACTCATTCTAATAATGATATAAATGTCTTAAAAGATAATCTTATCAGTCATTACAAATTCTTCTTTCTATATGGAAAATATGAAACCCATCTTTAGTAATTTCTAAATTTCAAATAACAGTATTCTATCATTAACCATTTAATACACATCCCCCTGTATCATTTATTTGACTAGGAAATGTTCAGTCATATAGAGAAGGAGACATTTGTCACCGATGTTAGTAAAACTGAATGGTTATAAATGAAACTGAAAATAAACATTATCTGTTATTTGCTCACTGACTGTTAAGTTGTAATGTGTTTGTTGTGGAAACTGAATAACTTAAGTTCAAGATCTAATGTAGACGTGAAAGCTTATACATTTATACTCAACAATTTTAGAGATTATAGCAACTCTCCTACAATCAATTTCGATTATGGTTAATCTTGGTTAAGACCTTTTATAAACTTAACAGATAATGGTATTTCAACAGTAACAATTCACATATTTCTTTGTGACGTATTATGATCACTATCTTGTGTGTATAAACATGTACGCTTGATCATATGTAACAGCCTGTGGACATATCTCTTTCTAGTTTAAATATTGGTAGTTTAAAGATCGCTCGATAAGTCATTCTCTTTGCCATGTACTCGGATCTTATTTATGAGTCTTTGCCTTGCCTAGATGCGTCCTCATTCGATTTGATCATAACTTCACCTCTGCATTCGCTCGCACACATATATCTACCTCTCTGCTCAAAATTCGCTCGATTCACTTATAACTTTGTTCTTCGTAATATCCTTTAATAAACTGCAGTCGCTACTTCTTATTACCTTCTAATTTCAAATACCACTGGGATTTATATAATAACATTTACAAAGGTGATTGATTAACGAAACTATGTTACTACTGTGGTGTGTGCTACTTATATTGACATAAGTAGTATATGATATTAGTCGTGAACAGAAGGTCTGGCAGCAGCGAGACAAGAGGATCGATTAGTAAAGAATGGAAACAGGACGCAATTAGTATGAAAATGCAAGAACAATGAAGTCTGAGTTATTTTGAGACAATTGGTGGACATTTTGCATATTAAGCATTTACTTTATGATTGTTAGACTTTATTAACAAGTCCTGTAATTTTGTGCTAAATACATTCGATCGTCCCCACCCGTGTTCTGTTCACCACACTACAAGATGTCTATCAACCAGAGACCGATTCATGGAAATTTAAGTCCTATATGTCAATCAATAAGCAATCGGGATTAAGTTCCGTTTATGGATTTTTTTAAAACAATAAATCGTTCACAACGCTTAGATTGATTTTTATAGAAAAAAAAATTGACTAAAATTGTATGATCATATATACACTGGATATTTTACTGAGAAATAAAGGTGAACATTCTAGTAACTCGACTATGAAAGTGTGACATACATTTCATTTTGAATGATTTTATCGAGTTAAATAGAATTTTAATTTTGATATGGTATACACTATTGATTCAGTTGATTTTCATAGGTCTCTAAATCAAACACAATGTTTTCACCTAATCCCATTCAATGTAAGATTGAAATAAGTAAAAACCATACTGTTTTTCATTTGATGATGACAGAGTTCAAATATGTAAGGAGTGAATCAGTGATTACTAATGATAATGGATGTTTATGACTATATTTCACATTTGAAATTGTAAAATAATGGTTAGGAAGATTAATGGATGCTACAAGACCATGGCTACATTGTGCTGAAGCATCTCATATTATAATGAAATCGTTATCCAACTCTTCCCAGTTTTTGAAGAATAATACCTACAGATGATTATAGTTTAAAGTGATATTAGAAATCGGGTTTGAGATATGATCCCTGTTCGTTCCACCCTGGACAAGGCAGATGTTATCTATTATTGACCTTGTAAACTCGTAATCAGCAAGATTACGTGAATACAGTTGCTATCCTTGTATCTCACAACAAATGAATCAGTTAACTAGCGGTGACTGTAGTCGTACCAACTGTATTGTTATACTTTTGTAACCAATTAACTAAATAGATCAATAGTACAATAGGTCATACAACCCGAATAGCTAACATCACTTCCACAACGAAATAAAATATTGTGCTTCGAAATGTCCTCGTGCATGTTTTTAAAAATTGTACATGCTTTGCTGCATTTCTTTGCTCATTGAATTTAATCAGCTGACATACTGTTCATGGAGAATCCGTGTATCGGAAAACTACAAATTATTACCATTAACTTAATCACAAAATCACCAAGGGTATAGATGAGTTATTCAAGCAGTACAAATATGAACAGCAGATCATATCATGAAAACTTAATATTTTTCAAAAATATTTTCAGGTCTCAATTAGATTACCATTCACACGTAAATCATTTTCTAATGATCTTCTAGAGTTACTTAAATTATTCCCCCAACTTCAGTATGTTCGACTATAGCTACTCTGAATGAATAAAAACACATCAAGTTAACTTTATAAACTGTTGACACAAAAAACACAAAACAATATGAGAAAATTTATCAGCAATATAACATGCTACTTACAAGTAGACGTCAGTATTCTTGTAACCAGTTCATTAATTTGTCCACCATCACTTCCTTTAATATATTGATTAATTAGATTGGTTACGAAATTATTCAATAGAGACCGTATAACACTTTGACCCCAAACCATCAAGGCTCCAAGTATGAGCAATGCCAGCCCTACAATCTTTATTTCAAAAGATATATAAGTACAGTTGATTAATATTTTGGATGTAAAAATGACACAATCTTATTTCAATATTAAACATTATATGAACATATCATTATTTTATTTTATATTAACTCCATCTTGAAGTTGAACTGTATTACGAAACTCTATTTACTTATTACTATTTAACTCAATAGAACACAACATTAAAAGTAAGCGAATCCTTTCATTGAAATGACTATAACAATCTTTTTTAAAGATATAAGTAATTTAAATTCACCTTATGTTGTTTGTTTGCATCAGGCTCTTGTTGGAATATGTGCATCTTGTATGGATTGCCTCGATATTGCTTTAATTCACAAGCTTTATAACCAGAAATGGATGGTGGCTGAACGTGGAATCCAGGATGCGTGTGGATAACGCGATGGCATTTGAAGCGAACGGTACTGGGTTGGAGTCTCGAAGTTAACATCAACTCTGGAATGCAGATACATTCAACTGAGAAGTCTCAAATAGGATGAAACGCGTATCCTGGATTCCACTGATAGCCATATCCATCTTCGCTTATATAGGTAATTTTTTGAGGATTAAATAAAAATAAATCTTCCCAACTCTTTATATTTAGATACTTACCAAAATATTTACAATGTATATGAACAGTAATATGCTATTTCTATCTCTTATTCAAGATATTTCTGTTGTATACTGAACTTAATAAGATGTTTGTTTATGAATAAAACTAAAGTTTCCATGAATCGGTCTGACTATGGTTTACATATTATACAAAGAACAAAAAGATTATAATTCATGGAATTTTTTCCACCAAAAAGAATTCATGAACCATATAATCATTCAGTCATAGACATAATATAATAGGATATAACTGTATAACAGTTTAATTTGTTACTACTCACACTAACATAATGAGAGAAGAAGTGTTTAACATGAGAATTTAGAAAGTGGAAATGATAACTTATTTTGAATGATATCTCTTATTACTTCCATTAATAGAGTTTGATTGTTCGGTTGTTCATAAGCAAGATTTCTACATTTACATTGACGTGTAACAGACCAATAGCTAATAACTTTACGAATTGATACCATGTTTATGGTTCACTGTTTTATCTTTCTTTCAACCTACTTCTACACTAGCCAATATCATTCATTATGGCTGGGCATAATGGTTATGAACAAGATCAGGAACAGGCATTTTTAATCTTTAAAATTAATATTTCTTATTGTAGTAGTAAGAGTCTAGAAAGTAGTCATGATAAACCAGTATGGATTCATCGCATGAAAATTACTCATTTTTTTGGAAATACGTTAAACTTATTTAATGCTTATATAATTGTCTTCTGATAATCGTGAATTGATTGAAGTTATACATTAACGACGTTGGACGTTGGCTCAGTGGTTTCGAGGTTAAGAGTTCACGTGCGAGGCTCAAGGTCGTGGATTCGAGTCACATGGATCGGGAGTTTCATACTAGGACGAAATGGTCGTTCAGTGTTTACAAGTTTTCAATGATGATCTATTTTAGATCAGTCCATCATTTCAATGAAATCATAAAACTATATAGACTCTACTTCATGAAACTTATTATTTAGTATACAGACATGTAAAAACAATAACAAAACTAGAAAATTATTCTAAACAATAAACAAATTGTAAATGTTTATCACAAATATTGTATCTTTCTATAAACCCTGATTAGACATTGATCATCTATTTCATTGAATAATTAACAATAAAATCATTGTATAAATATGATTGAAAAAGTTAATTTAAGGTCAACAATAATCATTTGATGAATAGAATAACAATCTTGTACATTAGAAATTAAACAAAATGTGTACACTATTATTAACTTTATTATTGAAATGTTCCAGAACATCATTATGACATTAGACTAATTAATACTTACAGTTGATTGATTATTGGGTGGTGATCAATTGCATGTACGTCAGGTCCTTCATAATGAGGATTGAATCTTATCGACTAAGTTGCAATGTGGACACCAGTCTAGGTGACTTGACATTGTATGCACTATTTTGAGATAAGATGGTGGTTGGAGGTTTCTCAACAAGAAACCCTGAACCTAGGTTTCATGCTGCTTGGTACTCGCCAGCAAGGTGTACCTTTAATCTTCAGGGGAATGATGCTTCCTGACGAATTCGATCCCGTGTCACCCAGCTTCACGGTCATATACAATAATACACAGACATACATGACATTGATCACCACCCAATCAATTGTAAACACATCTCAGTCCTACAGAAGGTCAGTCGTGGCCCGGATAGCTCAGTAGTAACGTCTCTGACTGTGAAGCTGGGTGATACGGGATCGAATTCATCAGGGTGCATCAGTTCCCTTAAGATTACAGGCACGCCATGCTGACGAGTGCCAAGTAGCACAAAACCTAGGCCCAGCGTTTACTGTTGACTACCTTCAACCACCATCTTAATTAATACTTGACAACTTCATTGTAGTTATAGAATTATTTCTATTGTTAAACAGTTGTTTTCCTTCCCAACTTAGTGTTACTGACTTTTTAAAAACGTTATTTTACTCAAAACAAAGTTTCTGTTGTGAAATAATCTCATCAGTTGAATAGTTACTGAAAACTGTTTCACTAATGTTTTGGATTAATCATTCATAAATTATGTGATTTACAGTATGAGATATTACCGCTGAGTTGTTTGTTCAGTGACTGACTTCCTGATACAGTTTCATGTACTAGCCTGTGAACTGCATTATTTATGTAAGAAATAATGATACTACTACTAATTGATTGTTTAAATCGTGTTAGGTAAGCCTTAATTATAATATGAGATTTAATGAATGATAACCAAGTGCTTTGATCACCAAGTTATCGCTCTCGTTTGTTTTCAGGTAAGTCAACATCATAGGGACTACTTTTTTAATGTTAGCTAGATGTTGATAATCTGCTGTTCAAAAGTGACCTTTTATTTTCATTGAATACATAGGTAATGTCATTCCATAATTAAAAAAAAAACTATTCGCCGTAATGATAATATCTCCACCCGTTACCCTTTTGATCATTATCTTACAATCGGAACTATTTACAAACAAACAGGTTTATATTGTTCAATCAATATCAGTTCACTTCGTTTTTGTACTGTGATAGCATTTCAAGATAACTTCGCCTGGAGTCCCTCCGGGGGCTACTGCCGATCCCAGGCCCGGATAAAGGAGGAGGGTTGGGCATGGGGTTAGCGACTCCATCCTGTAGAAAACTAACTCGCTAAAAAAACGCTAATCAGAAAAAAATTACTCAAACTCAAACATTTCAAGATATATCTGAAAACAAGAAATATTTGGGTAAACAACTGTTTTTAACAACTTCAACCATCCTTCTCTATTGTTCTAAAAACACAAATATTACGTAACAATAGCCAAAATAAGGCATATAATAATAAGTGAACTAGACAATGTTATATTGTCAAAATAGTGAACTTTTGAATATTTCTTCTGAGAATTACAATTCCTAGTTCTTTGTATCACTTTGATTTGTTATTGAATGAAGTGTATGACAGAGCATATATATATATGCATGAGACTTACCAAGCTGACAGTGTTCATAGCAATCAAAACAATTCGACATGGTAGATTGCACAACATTTTTCTCTTTGTATAAAAATGAATTAATTACCTATAAAGAATAACATAAGAGTGATTAATGTGAAGAAATGATTCTGTCATTTTTAAAGAGCATTAACAAATCAAAATGAAATATTTCCAGTGATGTTCAGTCTTTAGAAAAAGAACACTCTACATTGACAAGGTGTAACTCCTACTTTATAATTGAAATGATGAAACAATCAATGTTCGACCACCATTGAAAACCTGGAAGCATTGGACAGTTGCTTCGTTTTAGTATGGGACTTCTCAGCAGTGTATATCTATGATCCCCCACGTGGGATTGGAATTAAGGACCATCGGTTCATAACCCTATCCTATTTTATGCTTCAATAAACTAAATTATCATAAATTATCATTTTCATATGTATATAGTTGAAGGATATTGTTGTTGAGATTTCTGAAAATTTTCACTGTTAACAAATATCTAAATTTATTCTTTGCCTGGTCTGAGGCCACCTCCTGGAATTCTGCCTAAGAATGATAAATCAAATGGTTAATATCTTGCGTTCTGCAACATGTGCTTGATTGAGGAGATTGAGCATATTATTTAACTTTTTAAATTATTTACCATATCCATTCAAATAGTACAAGGTATTTATTATTTATTTGAACATACAAACAACGGTACGAGGGGGCACCAAATACATATGCACCACACAATAACAATGAGGCTAGCAGCAATCATTGATTTGTGTGAGGGCTGTGATCCTGCCCGTGTGCCCAGACCGAAGTAGGTGATTTTCTTAGGGGGCCACACCCCGAGCCTATGACCTGAAAGTATAATTCACAAGGCAGCGAGGCAACGTCAGTCCCATGGTAGCCTGTGACCAACAATTGGTTCATACGCCACTTGTTCTTTCAGGCTCCTGGAGCACATGTGTGCGACTGGTTTGAAATCAGGGTTTTCCAACTCCCTTAAGTGGATTCACCATATCCACCACCCCAGTTAAAGCACCGGACATTCACTTTTCGTCCTCTCAATTTCATATACAGCATCCGCTCAGCAAGAAGGCAATAAGACTCCCGTGGTAGTGGCTGCACACGCGTGACCGTAAGAGAGCATTTGGAGAGGGAGAGCTGACTCTCCCCACTGTCAGCCGTACTAGAGCATTTGGGGGCAATAAAGATGTGCAGTGAATTGAAGAAGTTCTAGCTATTCACAATATAAACTATACATGAAAACAGTTGTTTGGAAACTTTTCTTTAACATGACCTTAGCAACTAGGATTGAGTGAAGAAATTTAAATATAAAGAGAAATAAGGCCCAAGTGAATTAATCCTTTTACCTGACCTGTAGATTTTAAAATCAATAACCATTTTTACTGAACTCATAACATAGTTTATCTTTTCTTAAAGATTCTCTGAGAGAACTTTACATTTTCATTCATTGATCATACACAAATATACACCTTCTTTATTTGACCTTAATTTCTTACAATCTTGGTAAAAGGTTATAAGCAAACGCACAATCAATCAGACTCATAATACTTAAAATCGAATTATTAAGTTGATAAATGAGAAAACGAGAACAGTCATAGTGAAAATTTCTTTGAATAATTCAATTTTGAACAGTTTAAAAGACATACAGACCGATTCTTACAAAAAAAATATAGCCAGTATAGAACTATCCATATCATTGTTGCTTAGGTTAGCAGATAGTTAGTTGGTTCAGCCCAAAGGTAGCAATGTGTACACTTTATAAAAGATAGAATATAAATACTATATTATTATGATTATTGTTATTATTACCATTATCAAACCATCCCATCGGTAGTGTTTTTCTCTCCCCCTCCCTCCCTCTCATTCTATCACTTTTTAATCATATTTTAGAAATAATAATAAATAAATAAACAATAAGAGATACATTAATTCTTATTTTAACTTCCCTTTTCATGTATATTAATTGTTGCCTTTGTTTGTATATGTATGTGAATGAGTTAAGTGTATAACTGCGTTACATATGAATTTTAATGGGATTTATATTAAAAAGTAAACAAAGGTAATGTAAATTCTAGAAATGAGTTTTATTATTTTTTTGTTGTTGAGTTTTATTAAATAAAACAATTTTTTGCCAACCAATAAAAATCAAACAATCCACCTTAGCAACATAAACCTTATTTACCAATAAAAATACTGTGTATATTTATGTATAGGGAAAGTGTAACTAAGGTTAATTTGTTGTTTCGTTTCATAACAAAAAAAATGCATTTATAGTAACATCTTAAAATATGAACTGCTCTAACCAACTTGGGGAACCATTGACCAATATGTTATTTATCATATGATCAATATTTATATTTTGATTGAGATCATGAACTGATTGATGCTAGACCACTGTTGAAAACCTGGAAGCAGTGGACGGCCGTTTCGTCCTATTGTAGGACTCCTCAGTAGTGCGCATCCACGATACCGCTCAAGGGATTCGAACCCAGGGCTCAACCTACTGGACCACTGAGCTGGCCGGCATCCAGTGGTGTTAGTGTCTGACATCAACCAATTCACGAAATCGAGTAACCGCCTTCCATTGTACTGAGGTAGATACCTGTCTCTACGCGACACAGATTAGCTCCATTGGTCACGGCTTCTCACTAGAACTCCAATAATTCCCTCATGAAGCTAGTCACTAGTGAGCACATGATTTTTATATTAAGTGTAGTTCAGATCAGAGAATTTTTTACAATTCACAAGGGAAGATAAGAAAAGTGAATGGGATATGGATGACATTTGGATACAACTACAATTATAATAACTAATATTGTTAGTATTCTTATAAGTATTGGTATTATTATTAACAATAGTAGTAATGTTCTCATCCTAATTGTAATTAGAACAAAAAAACCAAGTTCATTTTTTTGTTCCTCACAAAATGGTCCCGTGATTTTTATTACATTCATTTCTTTCTTGTTTGTACTATTAAAGTATTGTTTCTTTTTCTTTCCTGCTCGCTTTTAATATTCAATGTAAGTTCATTATAAAATGCAATATTGTAATGCATTAGCCACCCCCCAACCGTCAAGATTAGTGTGATGAAACAATGAAAGTGTATAACAATTAGTTTGTTAAAATAAAAAGGTTCATTGAATGAATAGTTGAACAATTAATTCACACGTTCATATGTACATGTATGTCGAGAGAGAGAGAGAGAAAGGAAGATAGAGACTTGAATGGTGAGGGAATTGCATTAATATCGCCTTCGCTTACAAATATTTAATACGAAGTCCTACTTTTAGCATAAACATCAACATAAAGATGGAGGTATATACAACTGACGAGGTACAAATAGAACCAAACATGTATATTGGATTCCATTACTAGTCAAATCTATCCATTCCATAGAAATTATAATCGTCATTGTCACTAATCATCTACACATTGTTAGTTGAAATACCTTTGATTGACTGATGTTCTTTTTTTTTTAAAAAGTCAATCCTCAAGATGAAGTTTAATTGCCTTCATGTTAACTATGAAATTAATGACATATAACGAATACTAAAACAAAGTATCTATTATTTCTTAAAATATGACTATTATTAAATGGGCATAGAAAATTTGTGGAGATGGCTGAATTTTCATAATTTACATCAAAGACCGATCTTAGTTAGATGACCACTGAAAGCTAAGAACCACTGGACTCCTCATCAACGGTCTAAGGATAAGAGCTTTGTCATGAGACTTGAAGGTCATGGGTTCAATCACCTATGGAAGAGTGACTTATGTTCACCATTGAAGAATTTCACAGAGCACCAAAATAATCACCCACTTCTTCCTGATTTCTAGTAGTTGTCCATCTAAGATCAGTCCGCGGTGTTAACCATGTTATTGAATTCTAAAATATTCAATTGCCGTTCTTTTTTAAAAAAGAATATAATTTGTCCTCGCAATGCTTCATCGGAGTCTTAAGAAGTAAAGAAGAATTGATACAACATTTTTGTTCATCGTACACATAAATATCGTAAACTGATATATAATTGTATTTATTCAGTAAGAGACACTAATCTATTAATTTATGGAGATACCACCGTGTAGATAATTTTTAAACATGATTCGGTAATTCAACGAATTTCACTGGAATAAACTATAAACTTGAGTTACTGTAACTCAGCGGTATATTTAGATTTATCAATATCTAGTTTTGTTTAGTGGATTAACTTGTTATCACGATTATGTCATTACTAGTCGTTATCAACTACTGCTCACATCTAGTGTGATTTCGAAGTCTTTGGTTAATGTTATCTCACATTCTCTTTTCTTCTAGATGTAACTCGAGATTAAATATAGACCCATAAGTACCTAGAAGTCATCCTATTAACTAGCGACGTGTCACACCATAGAGAGTACTTGAAGTGAAGTAGTCGACTAGTAGAGATTCATTATCATTCTAATCCTAAAGTAGAATATATGGATTATGAAAATTTAATTGTATTGGATTATCTATTAATTAATTGTAATAGAATACTTAATTGTATAATAATGGACAACAGAAACAACCTATGAAGCAATTAATGGCGAGACTATAATTTATGGACGAACCAATCAGATTTAGAATAACAATTATTAGATTTTCGCTCGAAATTCATTCACCCATTTAGCTAGAATCTTGGCATTATAGCTGATGTCAATTCGTGATGAAAACCCTAAATCTAATTCCTAACCATCAACTATAAATTATAATCCTTATTCCTCAAACTGCTCTATAAACCTCATTTAGCTCTAGTAAGTGGGTAGACACTATCAAGGTGACTTTATTGTCGCTCAAAGATCGTTCATAAATTATAGTCTTAGCTAATTAATAGTGCAAGAATAAAGAATTGAGCAGAATAGCATAAAGTCATTTTATTTCGTCAGGTTCTCATCAGCTGTTTACAATCTAGAATATTTAAACTCAAATCTTCTCTGATATATTATATTCATTTCCAACACTCATTATATTGTGTTCACACGCACTACTTCATGATGATGTTACATAACCATTTTTAATTTGTAAACAGCTAATGAGAACTTGACGAAATAAAATGAATTTATGTTATTCTGTTTAATTCTTTATTCTTTCTCCAATAAAGGTAATAAAAGAACTAAATATATTTCACTGATTGAAATTATAAGTCAATTGAAGGTAGACCACTGTGGAAAACTTGGGGGCACTGGACGGCCGTTTCGTTCTAATGTGAAACTCCTCAGCAGTGCGCATCCACGATCCCACCTTCCACGAGATTCGAACACAGGACCTATCAGTCTCGCGCCATGCGCTTAACCAGCTAAACCACTGAGCCGGCATCCAGCTTCAATTGACTGATGATTTCAATCAGTGAAATTTCTAAAATCTTCACAAAACCCCCTTCTGATAACTAGATATATGACAATTAATGAGTTTTCTTTAGTGTTTATCTACTAAGCTACATGATACATTCATCAGCTTAAATAAAGTTTTTATCCATTGAAATTGTTTACATTTAAGAAAAATAATAATAATAACAAAGAAGCCGACAAGATGATCAAACAGTATTTGATTCTTTAAACATACAATGATTTGACCATAAATATTATAAACAGTGATTGAAGTCATGTTAATGATCGATTACTTTTTCTATGTAATTGAGATCATTCTCACTTTATTAAAAAGTAAACAACGAACGGTCTCTTTTCATCTTATTATTTTATTCTAAACAATATCATTGATAATTTAACATCAAAGTAATTTGATCTATTCATCATGAATGTTTATGACAAGTAATGCTAATTGATTCATTAACTGGAAAAAAGAAAACAAACCAGAAGTAAAAAAGAAACATGATTTCCAAGTGATAAAAACAGAAAACTCTTGATTGTGATCATGAATCGATCGATGTTAAACCACCATTGAAAACTATGTACTGAGAAGAGAAGATTTGTAAGATATTATCATATAATTGCAATATGGTATTTCAAAACACTGTCCATTATAATCTTCCTAGTTTATTGTAGAGTTTATCTATATATACTGCATATAGCTTAAGCCATTGATTCAAAATATTGTTAAACAATTGTAAATATTCTGAGTTAATTTTGTAAACTTATGTTACTACTGTTGACGTCAGTACGACCCGAAAGTTTACTTTACGTTTTTTTAAATACTAAAGTAGAATGATTTACAAATAACCTCTCACTATTTTGCCATATGGAACTAGTCATCTATTTGATGTTGATCGGTTATATGAGCAACTAAAATTAAACTTTTCATTCATACTTTACTGCCGTTAGTATCGGACTTTTAAACAAAGTATTTAGACATGACCATTAGTTATTATTATTATTATTATTATCACGATTGTAGGTTGTAATCCATGGTATTGAAACATATTGAGAATGAAACAATCATAGCTAATGGGATCCAATAAATTTTGTGCCATATTCCAAATTGATTGACGTTGGAAATATGTATCAATGGATTTCAATACAGTGGTCTGGTGGTTATATATATATATCCCTTGCCTGATTACAAATCTACACTTTTGAGAAGTCTTATACTAGAACAAAACAACTGTCCAGTACTTCCTGATTTTCACTAGTATATTGACTAAGGTTAACCTATCATAAATACTGCCCATATATAATCTAATATGTCAATACTACTTAAGAAATTGACTTCTTTATTAAATAAAAAAATTTCAATGATATAATGACTTATTCACTTAATAAATTCCGTCCTTAATTACTATTTATTATTTGGACTGATAATCTTAAATTTATAACTACTAAGAACTAATTGACCATTGATTATGAAAAGTCAGCAAAATGTCAATAATTTTTACGTGTTTAAATAGTTCTTTCCTACATCAAGGAAAAGTTACTTTCTGTTTGTAATAATCCTGAACAGTCAGTTGGTCACCACTTTTTTGAGGGTTTTGTAATGGGTACTGAGTGAATAAACTCCGCCTGTAGCTCTTCTAAAGTTATTGCCGTTTCCAAGCCCGGATAATGGAGGAGGGTCGGAAATGAGGTCGGCAACCCCATCCCGTAGAAAAAACCCTTGCTAAAAGACGCCAACCAGAATAAACAAATTATACCATTTAAACTCTGCTCTGGAAGTTGAAGGAAGAATTATGACTCCTCAGGATGAAAGCCGAGATTCTTCGCAAGTCAAGAGACTGATGCCCCTTGTAAAAACCAGATAGGAAATTTCTATAGGTACATGGAACGTCCGAACAACGTGAGAGACCGGAAGGATCAGTCGAATGGCAATGGAAATGAGGAGATACAACTTGGTAGTACTCGGAATCAGAGAAACCCATTGGACCCAGGCTGGACAGCAAAGGCTAGATACGGGAGAGATGCTGCTATACTCCGGTCACGGAGAGAAAATTGCTCCGCATACTCAGGGAGTTGCTCTAATACTGTTCAAAGAAGCACGGAATGCACTTGTAGGATAGGAATCTCACAGATCCAGAATCATCAAGGCATCATTCAAAACAAAGGATGAGGGTGTCATAATGAACGTTATCCAGCGTTATACACCCACCAGTGATAGCAACGACGACGATACAGATCAGTTCTATGAGAGGCTAAAATTTATCATAGCGAAGTGCCCAAGAAAGGATATCACCATCCTGATGGACAACATCGGATATGATGATATCATGGGACGACATAGACTGGGAGAGAGAAACGAAAATGGGGAAAGATTTGCAAATCTATGTGCGTTCAACAAATTGGATATAGGCGGCACAATATTCCCACACAAACGCATAAACAAAGCTACATGGATCTCACAGAACCACACCACGGATAACTAGATAGATCACATTTGTATCAATAAAAATTTCAGGAGGACAATGGAAGATATGAGAACCAGAAGAGGAGCTAATGTAGCTTCAAATCACCAACTGATCGTGACCAAGATGAAACTATTGCTAAAGAAACAATGGACAGCTGGGCAAACAGCATTACAAGGGTTCAATGCAACCTCCCTTCGAAATACTGACAAACTCAACGAATTCAAGACAACTCTCAACAACAGGTTCCAGGTTACGAGATCTACTTACAGAGAAAGAAACTACTATGCAGTACAACCAAAAAGGGAACAAAGAAGCACTAATTTCAACATGTCAGTAGGTGCTAGGTAGCAAGAAGCATCATCATAAGGTATGGATCGCAATAGGGACCCTGGACAAGATTCAAGAAACGAAAAACAAGAAAACAGCAATCAACAACAGCCGAAAACAAAAACAGAGAAAGTCAGGGCACAAGCTGAATACACAGAAGGAAACAAACAATTGAAGAAGAGCATTAGAGCCAACAGACAGAAATGCGTGGAAGACCTAGCAACGACAGCAGAAAAAGCTGTAAGAGAAGGGAATACGAGACAACTATATGACACGACGAAGAAACTCGTATGAAAATACAGTAAACCAGAAAGACCAGTAAAGAAAAAACAAGGCAAGCCAATCACTGAAATTCAAGGACTGAGGAACAGATGGGTAGAACACTTTGAGGAACTCTTAAATAGACTAGTTCCATTGAATCCACCGGACACCGAAGCAACAACAGTGTTGCTGAACCGGATGAAAGACACAGTAGACGCCCAATCTCAAGACCGACAGACTGGATACCGTAAGGATCGGTCGTGCATAGGTCAAATCGCGACACTACAAATCATCATCGAACAATCAGTTGAGTGGAACTCGTCACTATACATCAACTTCGTTGACTATGAGAAGGCGTTTGACAGTGTGGATAGGAGAACATTATGGAAATTTCTTTGACACTATGGAGTTACTGAGAAGATTGTTAACATTATCCGGAACTCATACGACGGACTATAGTGCAAAGTCGTACATGGAGGATAGCTGACAGCTCCAGTCCAAGTAAGGACTGGAGTCAGACAAGACTGTCTACTCTCTCCTTTCCTCTTTCTTCTGGTGGTCGACTGGATTATGAAGACCTCAGAAACAATTAGACGATTTGGACTTCGCAGATGACCTAGCCCTCTTGTTCAATGCACACAAACTCAGATGAAGACAACTAGTGCAGCAACAGCCGCTGCATCAGTAGGCCTGAACACGCACAAAGGAGAAAACAAGACTTTTAAATACAACACGGAGAACAATAACACCATCACACTTGATGGAGAAGCTCTGGAAATGATGAGAACATTCACGCATCTGGGTAGCATCATCGATGAACAAGGGGGATCTGATGCAGACGTAAGAGCGAGGATTGGCAAGTCAAGGAAGTTATTCCCACAGTTGAAGAACATATAGAACTAAAGACAACGGTCAACCAATATCAAAGTCACAATCTTCAATACGTCGAGACAGTCCTATTGTACGGAGCTGAAACCTAGAGAACTGCTACAATCATTGTCAAAAAGATACAAGTATTTCTAAACAATTGTCTATACAAGAAACTTAATGACTGTTGACCGGAAACCATGGGCAACAATTTATTGTGGGAGAGAAAAAACCAGTTTCCAGCTGAGGAGGAAATCGGGAAAAGACGATAGAAGTGGATAGAACACACCAACGAAATCATGAAGCTGTATCGCGAGGTAAGTGCTAACTTGGAATTCTGAAGGGAAACGAAAAGTTTAAGGCCGAAGTACATACTACGTCGGGAATCGGAAGCAGACATGAAAAGAATGAATAGCAACTGGAAAGAACTGGAAAGGACTGTTCAGAACAGGGTTGGGTGGAGAGAAGTGGTTGGCTGCCTATGCTCCTCCATGAGGGGTAGCATGCGTAAGTAAGTAACCCAGTGAACAATTAATAAATTATATAGCTTTTAGTGAATATTCTCGGCAGTTAATATCATGAATACTTTACTTTTGGATGAATCATACAACTAATTTAAGCATTTCAAGCGGAAATGGATGTTGGTTAGTAGTGACGAGCGTTTCATTTTATTTAAGACTCGTCACCTGGATGACCCTACATCCAAAACTTGATGTTCACTCAGGCTTATCAGTCCGAAACAGGACGAAACTCACGTGATGGATTCCACTGATAGATACCCACAATCTCTGCTTGACTGACTGACAATATCGAGGCGATCTACACAGGATGCACGTATTCCAAAAGAGATCGATTAATTGCAGTCCTAAACATCAGTAGAAAGATCCAAACAACTAATATATGTCCGAAGTAAAATTGGTTTCAATTAGCTTAACTGAAATTATTTTCATGAGAATATTACATGACCGTATTTCATGATAAGTTATTGAGAAAAAGTGAACTATCTTACCAACGAAATTTCACATAAAATCACAAATGTATATTGGTGCTGCACAACATTATACTAGTCTTATGTTTTCTTTTATGGAAATAAATGGTTTTATTACAACAGACATACATATATAATCTGGTGTGATTCAATTAATAATTATCAGTATAGGATTGTGGAGATTGTTGAGTTTAGATTGATATAATTAATGGATCAATGTTAGACCTGGGAACATTGAACGGCCGTTTCGTCCTAGTATGGGACCACTTCAACAGTGCGCATCTACGATCTTGAATGCAGGATTCGACTTCAGGGCGTTCGGTCTCGCGCGTGAACGCTTAAACTCTAGACCACTGAGCCGGCATCCAACGGTGTTAATGTCTGTTATGAGGCAGTTACCCACTGAAGACCCATAGTGGATGGTCCAGTAATATCGTGGATTGAGTGAAGTTAGATATTATTATTATTATTAATTGACAATGAAAATGTTATGAAGTTCCAGATCTAACTTCTTTTTCATTTGTTGTTGTTATGGTAATTTAGAATTGTTTAGTTTATGATATATCATGAATAGTCAATCAAATCATGCTTTATATTAATCTTTTGTTCTTGTTGACAGAATTGAATTTAGTATTTTATTGTTTTACAATGTATTTTTCTTATTTACTTGTGCAGAACCAATCAATTATACACAAAGTGTTGACATCATTACACTGACTAATTCACATTACTATTTATAACTCGATAGACAGGATGAAATACTATTGAAAACAATCAAAAGATTTTAACGTATCATATAAGTTGAAGAAGTTTCAACAGTTGGAAAAAAAGGTTTTGGCCTTGTTTAAGACATCTCAGTAGTGTTGATTTAAGAGTTGACTAAAGATTGAATTCAAAAATATCAAGCTTTATAGCTTGCACTATAAATATTGACAGATCTAAGTTTTAAAATGCAGTCAACTTATGATTTAGTGAGGATATTATTTACTATTGTAAGTAATGGTACAGTAATCACTGGGTTCCAACGATTCTTGAATTGAAGTCATCCCATCAGGAAAACTATAAGTTCAAACTGAAAAGTATACACTGATTTCTCATCTTAAAAGGTTTCAGTAAACTTTGTAAATTTGACCGAATTTTGTCGTATCTTTTAAGCTATTTTATTCTCTAATATCACAGACTGATTCTGATTAAATAATTATAGAATATTAAGAAACTCTAGACTGCGTTGAGAGGTTATCCCTCAGACCACTAAAATGACATTCAATGGTTTACAGTTCTAACCACAGTAAATTCTTTTGTTATAACGAACATATATTTAAGTCGTCTAAAAATCAATCAAGTATGATAGATACTCAGATACAATGTCAAACTGAATGTTATTTATGATAAGACTAAAAAATAATTTCAATAGTTGAGATCATGAGTCAATTGAAGCTAGACCACAATGAAAAATCTGGAAGCACTGGAAGATCGTTTCGTCCTATTATGCACATCCACGACCCCGACACGCGAAATTCCGACCCAGGACATATCAGTCTCGCGAGCAAGCGCGTGACCACTAGATCACTGAGCTGGCCGACATTCAACGATGTTAATGTCTAACTTCAACTAATACACGAAATTCAGTGACACATCCACCATCGTCTTCAGTGAGTTACTATCTCATAACAGACCCGGTTGAACTCCACTGGTTACTGGGTCTCACTAGAACTCCAGGAATTACCTCTTGAAGCCAGTTACTAGTGAGCATATGTTGATCAATATCAGGATGGGTTTTTGTGGATATTATAACACTTTCAATAGTTGAGATCACGAGTCAATTGAGAAAAAAATTATTGACAGAAAGGGGACAAAAACACTAAATAAACAATTTTGAACACCTATTCCAAAAAAATTTACTAATTTAGCTACTTTAAACTATCAACTCTTCATCTTTCGTTTTCAAATATCACTGTATCAAACTTGTTTTGTTTTAATAAAATATGTTTTCCAGTGACATAATTTCTGTTTTCAAACGAGTATTGTTATCATCGCTTCTCAATATTCAGTAGTATAGTACTTTTTAAAATTTCAGATTCATTATTTTTTCGCGAGCTAAGTGTCTTCTCGTACAGATCAACTTTGACAAGATATTCCAGAAATTCTCATAACACTTTTGATATAAGAAGAGATGGATGGTGATTAGCAGTGTGATACAGGATGTACGGTTCGTCCTATTTAGAACTCATCAGCTGGATGTACCTGGATCTTAATAATCAATAAAAAACTGAGCTAAAAAGTTGATGTGTTTGGAAAATCAATGATAATCGTAAATTAGAAAAAAAAGTCATTTCATTTCATCCATTTTGTTTTAGTCTAAAGGCTACAACAGTGAAAACAGTTTAATGTAACATTATGTACACACAAAAAATGCACATCACTTGTGAAAACCAAAATCTGTTTCATCTAGGTGCATACACGAATATTAATTAGCAACTAAATAAAAGTCAAGAAAAATTGCATCTAGATGATTATAAATATTAATTTGACTTGGATAAAGTCAAAGAACCTCTTGTCATCCTATGAAATCTCTAATAGCCAAAAATTTTAGTTTAATCTGCAATCATTAAGGCAATCAACAACACCCTACTGTGGGAGAGGACAAACTAGTTTAGGAGGAAATTAGGAAAGGACGGTAGAAGTGGATAGGACACACATTACGGAAATCATCAGACTGCATCACGAAGTAAACGCTAACTTGGAATTCTGAAGGGAAACGAAAAAGAGGGAGGTCAAAGTATACAATGGGAAGCAGATATGAGAAGGATGAATAGCAACTGGAATGAACTGGAATTGTTCAGGACAAGGTTGGATGGAGTGTGCTGGTGAGTTGCCTATGCTCCTCCACTAGGGGTAACAGGCGTAAGTAAGTAAGTAAGTGTAATCATTAAACATTAATCGATGTAAAAAAGGTCAATAGCTCTCATAATCTAAGGTCAGTATACCAAGAAAATTACTGGAAATTAAAAAAACACGAAGATGATGCAATCAAAAGAGACAACCAATTACAAACAAATTCATTAGGATGAACTGATTGAGCATTCGTGCAAAATTGTCTTGGAAGCTCACCAATTCAAACAAGACGTTGATGAAATTAACTAGCAAGCTAATGAAAGTTTCATGATTATATCGTCAGAGAATATTACATTTTCAAAACTGTATGATGCGACCATTGTAGGTAGCTGTTCAATTAGAAAATGTCGTTAAGTTTAGGAAAGCAGACAGTGAATCCAAAGTTATTGGTGTTATCATATCACAACTGTAATATTCTCATGAGTACTATTGAAAAAAACCAAACATAGATATTCCAGTAATTCAATGACGTCTGAGCTTATTTGATTCTACTCCATTTAAAATGTTCTAATATATCACTAAGCTATTAAATTAGTACCCAGATAAACTTAATCAAGCAATGATGAAACTTTAACAAAAGTGGTCATTTTTAAATTTATACACATTTTGATGATAAGGAATATTGCTTGCCTCTTGTCGGAAATCTCAAAGCTTATCAAAAAGGATGTAGTTTAGTTAAGTTAATTGAAGAGATATAATTGAGATTACTTCAATCTGTGAATTGCTTTCTTCTCAGATTGAGTACGTTTAAGAACTAGAGAACACTGGACAGCTATCTTTTTATAGGAAAAGCCTATTTAGCAGTGCATACCCAACATTTCACCCGGGATCAATTGCATAACCATCAAATATCACTACTTGCACTTCACCATTAAAGCACTATGTTGACATATGATAGTACACATTTTCAACGTCAATTAATTCATGATATATAACATGACTATCATCCAATCTGATGGGTGATAAATGTCTCACTTCCAAATTATCTGAACACCACCGGTCATAACTTTTCTCTAAAACTTCAGGAATATCTTAAATCAAGTCATGGATGAACTGATGACTCTAGTAAGTTTCCTACAATATCTCAATTAAAATCAACCTGTAACGAATACATCCTACAATATAATTAATCCTCACTAATGAAAACAAATGTACAGTATATTGAACTGAATGAATGAATGAATTAGTCAATTAGATTCAAGTATAATTTATCCTCTTCTGTTTTAAATTAAATCAATAATTTTTCTGAGATGTATCTTGGAGACACTTCTTTTCGTAAAATACCAAAAAAAAACAACTTTACAAGTGTACAATGATCAACATTTACTACTGATTAATAAACTAGAATAGTTATAATGTCAAATGTTAGTGATTTGCATAATTGTATTAAATTCTTATATTTAACGTTGATTAAAGTACAAATGAAAATGAAAATTTATGAAAGAAATTCGAAAATTAACATAACAGACTTAACATACTTCACTTGGTATTGTTTTACTTGAATACCATGTGAATTAAACTTCACCCCATTGCACAAGAAAGTGGCTATCAGAACTCAGTAGCTAAGTGAATAACGCGATGGCGTTTGAAGTGAACGGTACTGAGTTCGAGTCCCAGAGTGAACATCAACTCTGAGATGCAGATACATCCAGCTGACGAGTCCCAAACAGGACGAAACGCGCGTCCTGGATTCCACTACTAGCCACTATCCATCTTTGCTTATAAGACTTAACATATATTATATAAATATATATACATAACAATAAAACTACATTTATGTTGTTTGCTTGTATCTTCCTATTGTTATTTAGGACTGTAAGCGATCAGTCATTTGTTGGCATCGACTTGATATTGCCTTAAGACACGAGCTATATATAATAAAAAATGAATGGTGGCTAGCATTGGAATCCAGGATGCAAGTTCCTTCCTAGTCTGGACTCGTCAGCTGGATATACCTGCATCTCAGAGTTGATGTTCACTATGGGACTCCAACGCAGTACTGTTTGCTTCAAACGCCATTGCGTTATCCACTTGACTACTAATTCCTGATAGCCACTTACTTGCGCAATGGGATTCACTTGATGTTATTTGCTTGTATCTTCCCATTGTTGTTTAGGACTGCACTTATAGTTAATATTTTTTCATAGAAAAGTTATATATATATATATATATATATATATATATATATATATATATATATATATATAACTGTATAATAGGAACATCGATAGTTAAAGTTTACATGAAATGTTTTAAACGTCATAGTTAGTGGACCATTTTAT